TGTAAGAACAGATAAATTTAAAACTGCAATTGCCAACATAACTATAAAGATTACCACAAATACCTACTAGTCATTTATGAATGAATGAGCCATATGCGTCTATCAGTAAATATAAACAGTTTAGATCTGAGAGCAAGAACCAACAATATAAATGAAATACACATGCAACTGGGGCCACCAGAATTAAAATCTAGAAATTAAACTAGTAACAGTATTTACTTTTAGAAAGATAACTTTCAGTTTTATTTTCTACTCTTCTAAATATATTTGCACTTTTTCTTAACAAGTAATTAAAAAATAAATAAAAAGCAAACAGGGAAACTGGAAAGATGGCTCAGCAGTTAAGATCACCTGTCGCTTTTCCAGAAGACCCAGGTTCAATTCCCAGCACCCACATGGTGACTCACAAAGGTCTCAAACTCCAGTTCCAGGGATCTAACACCCTCCTCTTGCCTCCAAGAGCACCAGACACGCAGTCGACACAGACATGCATGCAGGCAAACACCCACACACATAAGTTTCTTTAAAATATTGTTTAAAAGCAACTATAGCATTCACACAATCACACCCATTGTGGAGCATTTAAACAGAAATGATGTTTAAACAGGTGTGGTGACCATATATCCCAGCTCTCAGGAGGCTGAGGCAGGACAATAAGTTCAACACCACTGTTGGCTGGTTATATAGCAATTTCTAGACTAGCAAAGGCAACACGGCAAGAAATCCCTGAAATGAATGAATGAACTGTTTTAAAAAGAAATCCTATAAATTATGTACAAGTATGTAAAAAAAGGCACACACAAAATATTTTTCTGTAAGAAAAGGAACTTCAAGAAAAATACATAGGGGAGTGTACCATGTCTCCTAGTATTGGTATGCATCTCATTATTTTTGCATATATCTGTCTCTTGAAAATAATCTAATTTTTATCTATCTATCTATCTATCTATCTATCTATCTATCTATCTATTTAGGTTTTTCGGGGCAAGGTATCAGTTTTTAGCTCTGGTTGTCCTGGAAATTGCTTTGTAGACTAGGCTGGCCTCAAAGTCACAGTGATCCGCCTGCTTCTGCCTCCCGAGTGCTAGGATAAAAGTTGTGCGCCACCACCGCCCGGCTCTAATTTATTTTTGCATACATAGAAAATGTTCTACATGTTTTCATCAAACTATTGATAATGGATGAATTCATCTGTGATAATAGAGACAAGAAACATACCCAGATAGGAAAGGGGAAACTTCCTTTTAGATAGATAATATTATCTAGTTACATAGATAATATTACATAAAGTATATCTGATAAATTAAACTAACAAATTCTTAGTTTGAAAAATCACTTGCCTATTTTAGTCGACTTATCAAAGGTTTGCTATGTAAGCTTACCTGGAAGGGTTCCAAGAAATGCAACTACAGCTCAGCTTACATGAGATCTCATGCTGTAGAGACCACTGGCTGAGATTCATAACATCTGGAGCCTCATATATTCTTACTATACCATCTGCTGAACAGGTTGCCAACATCAGACCCATATGTTTGGGAGCAAATTTCACATCAGTAACAGATGTTCTACTATCCACTAGAGTTGTCCTCTTCACCTGAAAAAAAGAAACATATATATGATTTGGATCATACACAAAAAGAAAATGTGATGGATCCGAGTAAGAAATGTTTCAGAATCACAAAGACATCTCTGCCATTTACAAAGTGTTTATACTTGCAAGAGTTACTTGAAGCCTCTCTTGGTCTCTATTTCCAATGAAGCACTTTGTTTATATAACAACCACTAGCAAATTAGTGAGCTGTAATTAACTGTTGCCTTAAAGACAGAAGAGTCGGTCTATTATGTTAGTAATCATGCTGTGTGTTTTCAAAGCAAATGGCCCACAAAGGGAGTGGCACCATTAGGAGGTGTGTCACTCTGTGGGCGGACTCTGGGGTCTTTTTGCTCAAGCTTCCCTCAGTGTGACAATCAGTCAACTTCCCGATGCCCGCAAGATGCAGGATGCTCAGCTTTTCCTCCAGCACCACATCTGCCTGCACTCTGCTATGCTCCCGCCATGAGGACAATGGACTAAACCGCTGAAACTGTTAGAGAACCCCCACAATTAAATGCTTTACTTTATAAGCGTTGATGTAGTCATGGTATCTCATCACAGTTATAGAAACTCTAAATAAGTAGAAAAAAGGGGGGGGCTGGAGAGATGGCTCAGTGGTTAAGAGCACTACCTGCTCTTCCCAAGGTCCTGAGTTCAATTCCCGGCAACCACATTGTGGCTCACAACCATCTGTAATGAGGTCTGGTGCCCTATTCTGGCCTGCAGACATACACATAGACAGAATATTGTACACATAATAAATAAATATTTTAAAAAAAAGAAACTCTAAATAAGATACTCAATAGACAGACTGATCCTCAAACTAGAAAACATTAGAAATTTTACAAAGAGCTATCATACAAAGCATGCTACAAGTAGTAAATCAATTGAATTAGGATCCTCTAACAGTAAAAATAAGGCCTGCGACTTCTATCAATGCCAGTAAAGAAAGACTATATAAAAGACAGAAAAACACCTGCAGACTAAACTACCTTATGGCAGAACCTGGAGACAAGAGAAAAGGAATATCTCACTGCACAAATCCTTTTATAGCTTTTAATTCTATATTGTATAATTATTAAGAAAAACAAATTGAAAGGAAAATAAAATACTTCACATGATAAACTTCAGGGAAGTCTCATAATCTAGCTCAATGCTCTACTTTTACAGTTGAATAATGTCAACAGCACACAGGTACTATTCCTGTCCAATCATTTGCTAAAGACTGAGGCAGAACTTACAGTAGATGCAGACAGGGAAAGTGCAGTGTACTCAGTGACAGCAGGAGGCCCTGGGTTCAATTCAGAAGTCTAAAATCTTGCCCTAGCTACCATTCCAAATCATACAAAATAGACATATATATAGAATTGAGGGCAAAGCAAATACTGAGTTAATCACTAGAAATAATGATGGACTAAGTACTAGAGCAAGCAAAGCAAACATGAAAGAGGAGAAACTATGGAAGGAAGGAGGCAAGCGGATAGAGGGAAGTGTTAACAGTGTGTCAGGGAACAGAGTGTTACTAACGGTCTGATTGTTCACAGTTCTGCTTTCCTGTATGACACTAAATGTCTCACCCAGTGACTCTGTCCTCGAAGTTTATCGTTTGATTCTCCTACTATTTCTTCCCAAACAGCGGCTGTTCGGTCAAAAGAACAGGAAGCCAAAACTTGTCCAAATTCAGGATGAGCCCATGTCACACGCCACACAGATCCACTATGTGTCTGAGGGATTTAAAAACAGAACTTAGTTTACTATCTTCACACATACAGTTTATTTGAGAAAACAGAACGTGAGCTGTTTACTTCAGTAAGATGAGAAAGACACCAACTTAACATCAAAATAGTTAATTTCTTCTTCTTCTTCTCTTTGTTTTTCAAGACCGGGTTTCTCTGTAGCTATGGAGTCAGTTCTGGAACTTGCTATGTAGACCAGGCTGGCATCAAACTCAAGAGATCTACCTGCCTCTGCTTCCTGAGTGCTGGGATTAAAGGTATGCGCCATAACTGCCCGGCTAAGAGTTAATTTCTACAACTTACAACTTTTGGAAGATATTGAGGACTGTGGACTTCTGGAGCTGGTATTCTTTTTTTTTTTTTTTTTTTTGGTTTTTCGAGACAGGGTTTCTCTGTGGTTTTGGAGCCTGCCTGGAACTAGCTCTTGTAGACCAGGCTGGCCTCGAACTCACCTAGATCCGCCTGCCTCTGCCTCCCGAGTGCTGGGATTAAAGGCGTGCGCCACCACTGCCCGGCAAGCTGGTATTCTTTTAAAATTATTTTCTAATTTTGAATATGTGTGCCCGTGCATGTGAGTGCGCAATTACATGTGTGTTCTCCATCTCTCTCATTGGACTTAGAGCTCAATGGGATTATAAGCACATGGTACCACACATTTCAAACTTGGGTCCTCACAATTTTACAGCCAGCACTTTACCAACTGAGCTACCTCCTCAGTCCCTATGATGAAGCTACTCAAACATGTACTAATAATGACAGTCAGCTGGATGCTTCTGATTTCCAGTGTTTATATTGGAGACCTACTTTGCAATTTAGCCTAACCAGTCAACAAAGTCAAAACATTCCGGCTGGGCGGTGGTGACACACACCTTTAATCCCAACACTCGGGAGGCAGAGGCAGGTGGATCTCAGTAAGTTCAAGACCAGTCCGAGTGCCAGGACAGTCAGGAATGTTATACATAGAAACCCTGTCTCAAAAAATTAATAAAATTATATATATATATATATATATATATATATATATATATACACACACACACACACACACACACACACACACACACATATATACACATATGGTTTCATGTAGCCCAGAGTGGCTCAGAACTCTTTATATAAGAGGCAGTGGTGGTGCACACTTTTGATCCTGGTCTACAGAGCCGGTTCCAGAACAGCCAGGACTGTTATACAGAGCAACCCTGTCCTGAGAAAAGAAACTCCTTATGTATCTAAGGATGATCTAGAACTTCAGTTCTTCCTCCCTTCACACCCCCAGTGCTGGGACTACAGGTGAGCACTAAGATTTCTGGCACACACACCATCCACACCTGGTTTATGCAGGGCTGACAATCAAATCAGGGCTCTGTTCATACTAAAACAAGCTCTCTACTAACTGAGCTCCACCCCCAGCCACACTCTGCATTTCTAACATTTTCTCTATTTTCAATAATGTGAGAATTCTTAAACCAGAAGTAGTATTCCCTTTAATCCCAGCAATCGAGAGGTAGGCAGGAGCTCTGTGAGTTCAAGTCAAACCTGTTCTACTAAGTGAGTTCCAGAGCAGCCAGGGCTATGGAAAAATCCTGTCTCACAAAGAAAAATAATAATAAGCAAAAGCATACTAATAGTAGTAGTAGTAATAATAATAATAATGTTAAAAATTCTTTCTAGTGCTCGCTTCAGCAGCATATAGTAAAAAATTAGAACAATACAGAGAAGATCGGCAGGGCCCCTGTGCAAGGATGACTGGCAAATTCGTGAAGTGTTCCATGGTTAAAAAAAAAAAAAAAAAGAATTCTTTCTGGGCTGGAGAGATGGCTCAGAGGTTAAGAACACTGATTGTTCTTCCAGAGGTCCTCAGTTCAATTCCCAGCAACCACATGGTGGCTCACACCATCTGTAAAGAAGTCTGGTGCCCTCTTCTGGCCTGCAGGCATACACACAGACGGAACAATGTAAACAAAATAAATACATCTTAAAAAAAAAAAGAATTCTTTCTTTCTGAACCCAGTCAGTAACTTCAACATGGTAACAATGTCACAAAGGGTAGACTGCCCACTTGTCATCTTGTTTGTCTTGTCTTTGGGGCTTCCCCTTCAATTCTTACTTTAAAAAGCTATTAACTTAAAGACACACTAAGTTATATTTGCTTAATCAAATGTCAAACTCCCATTCTAACTAAAGAATGAGGTCTGCACAAAGATGTCACCACAATTTTTAAAAATTTTAATGACCAGGCATGGGGGTGCATCTGTGAGCAAGGCCGGCCTGATCTACACAGCAAGCTCTAGGTCAGCCAGGACTACAAAGATCCTTGTCTCAAAAAAGAAAATTAAATCACCAGGTGTGGTAGCGGGTGCTTGTAATCCTAGCAGTTGGAAGATAGATACATACCAAGTTCCAGGCTATCTCAAACATATAAGCAAAGACAAAATTTTGAATCTCCATCCAATAATCAACACAGAATCGTTACTAGATGTTTCTAAAAAGCTCTGAAGTCACAGGACAGTCCTGTGAAGACAGGGGCTTCCTTTGCACGTGGCATGTTGCTAATAAACCTGTCATCTGTCACAATGGAGAAAGGAAACAAACATTTCTAACACTGAAAAACTACCAGTCACTCAAATGCCCATCAGCAGGTGAGTGGTTAAACAAATGTGGCTTATCTTTACATTGAGATTGTTCAGCATTATATAAAAACAAATAATGCTTGTGTGGTGGCACACGTCTTTAATGCCAGCACTTTGGGGACAGAAAGAGGTGGATCTCTGAGTTAGAGGCCAAGCTGGTCTAAGTTGAGTTCTAGGACAGTCAAGGCTACACAGTGAGAACCTGTCTCAAAGCAAAACAACAAGGATGAACCTTTGTTAAGGAAACTAACCAGATACAAAGGATAATATAAATCATTACACTGCATCACTAAGTCCCATGTCAGCCTGGGTGATGACTCAGACGGTGCCACTGCAGCATGCCCACCTTCAGGCACCCTTCCACCTTGTATATACTGTCATACCCAATACCTCATGCAGCTGGAGATCACCAGGGCAACTCAGCTTTATGATGGCAGTAGTCATGTGAGGCCAAGAGAAAACAGGGCTGCTACAACATACGGTTTCAAAACAGTTTTCAGAAACTGCTTTGGCTTCCATGGACTCCTCACAGGTCCACAGAGCAACTAAACACAGGATGAAAAACCAGCACTGTGCCTTCATGTGTATAGGTCAGACTCTTGTTGCTCCACATAGGCATGCCAATCACTTAGGAGTAGCTGTCTACCCCATCTCATCCCCTTTCAAGGATGAAGCCATGGATAGAAATCCCTGTTCTCACTAAACCTGCAGTCACCTTGGGTTATAGGAACAGCCAACCAGTAGAGGACAGATCACCCCACACTAAAGGGTAAGCAATCAAAAGTAAAGATAAGGCTGCACCCTATAAGCAGAAGTAAATGGTCTATGAGGACCAGACTAAGGAGGAACAGACTGATCCTCAAGCAAAAATGGCCTTAAAGACCTCTTGAGACCAACTTTCAGAATTAGAGGTGAGACAATGATTTAAACTTAAAACTGATACTAGTGCCTAAAAGTCACAGTTGGGGTCACCCAGCTACAAACCCTGTGGACTACAAGTGACCCCTCTTACAAGATATGTTGAAGCAGTAGTGGCTAAGATGTTGTGGAAGAAACCAACCACTTTCTGATTGAATTTAAGGCCCATTCCATGAAACAGAACTCATACCTGACTCTGCCAAAATGGCCAAGAACCTGCGACTAGGTACATCACCTACTATTTTTGATAAACGAACATAGTAATAAAATGGCTCCTAATGATGTACTGCTATACCCACAGATGCTCAACTCACATCAGAAAAGCTGCTTCTTGCAGTAGATGGGAATTAACACATCTAAAGGACCACAACTGGACAATGTGCAGAGTGACAGACTTTGAAACACTCAGTCCTAGACAGGATGTTTTCATCAAAACCTCCCCTCAAGGCTCAGGGATCTATGCAGAAGAGAAGGTGAAAAGACTTCCAGAGGCAATGGAAACAGTGTCTTCCAGAACAAAAGGGCTGAAGTACAAACTCAGGGACACTATGGCCACACACAACAGGGCCTACACAGGTTCAAGCCAGAGGGTCCCAGGGCTGAAAGGGAGAACTGGACACAGAGTACCACCCTAACCAAGAAGCTACCTGCAATCGGTACCTGTCAGCAGAGGAAAAAACTCAGTTTTCTTCAATGGAGTCTCACTGAGTCTATCAACCACACCTCAGGGCTGCCCCACACCCAGGAGTAGTTGGGCCAACACAGAAGACCTCAGTGGTAATTCTGTGGGGTTTCTGTTTCACTTTGCTTTTGTTTGATATTCTTATGGTCTTTTGCTTGTTTTATGTTTCATTTTTGTGGTTTTGTAAGCATTTTTTGTGTGGGGGTTGCTTTAATTTCTTGGTTTGTGTTTGTTTTTGTTTAACAGAGAAAGAGCATAAAGTTGGGGCTAATGAGGAGAGAAGGGGAAAAAAAACATGAAATATGCTGGAATCCTAGAATACTACAAAAAATACCATTTTTCCAGTCCTTAGTTGAGACAGGGTCTCACTCTGTAATCCAGGCTGGCCTCTAACCAATGGCAATCTCCTGCCTCAGCCCCCCAAAGCACTGGGATCCCATACCTGGGTACACCTACAAATTTTTTCTTATTTTCAAATTTCCTATTGCTTTAATAATAAAGTCATAATGTAGTAAACCAGGAGCTATCTTTCCAGGAAAGAATATCATATCAATTTCATCATTTTCTCAAAGCTGAACACCAAGTCATTAATACTAAAATAGCAAAGATTTCAATTATCTCAAACCATGTAAAAACAAATACTAACCTTCCAACTAGCAGTACAATGCCAATCTCCGCTTTCACTTTTATCCCAGACCTATAAAAAAAAAAAGGCAAATGAGTATAAGCACAAGGAAAACATCAATTCCACAGGAAGCAGCAGAAGGAAGCATTCACTCCTCCAGCCAATGTTCACTGGAAATCATGTGCAGCAACACTGGGCCAAGCACTAAGGCATCCAGGAGCGCTAATAGGTAGAGTCAACAAATTCCCCCAACCCGTTTTTTTGTTTGTTTGTTTGTTTGTTTGTTTTGTTTGTTTGTATGGTGCTATCATCCGCTGAGCCCAGGGTCTTGTGCCTGCTAAGTGTGATGTGAAGACAGTGCTGAACAATACTCCCAATTATGCTTTAGGAAGTAACGTTGACTACTGAACACTGTTCACAGCAGTTTAGGTTCCTGTCATCTGGTGGATCATTTAGTGTGTATCTCTGTTTAAAGACATCTTATTTGATATAAACTGGCAACTCATCAGCATGGTAATCATGCCTGAAGGGCGCATATCAAACACAGTGCTAGGGCACAGCCAACGCTGGAAAGCATTTCCGTACTGCCCCTGAAAACCATCTTCAGCTGTCAACTCACCAACACGAGGACACAATAAGTGTACAAACTGTGGTACTGCGTGGACTGTGAACAAGATTTGTTTATACACTAGCCAAATACAAAGACAGTCCTGCTGTTCCAGCTCAGCTAGGAAGGTGCAACCAGGAGCCCTAGGGAGATAGGGATGGGGAGTTACTGGACAGTGTCGATTAAGAATAATGAGACTATTCTGTAGACACATGGTCATCCACATTTTTGTAAATGCCCGAGAAAGCACAGTGGGGCCAGGCACGGTGGCACACACCTCTAAACCAACTCTTGGGAGGCAGAGGCAAGTAGATCTCTAAGTTCCAGGGCAGCATAGTCTACATTATGAGTTCCAGACCAGCTTGGAGGGAAAGGAGGAGCACGGTGGGTTTTCACTTTGAGGTAACAAATTAAATTTAATAAGACAAAATAAAAAATAGCTATCAGTCTGGAGAGATGGCTCCGCAGACAGGAGCACTGACTGCTCTTCCACAGGACCCAGGTCCAAGTCCCAGCACCCTACACCCTCTTCTGACCTCTAGCGGTACACAGATATGTGCAAACAGATCATCCGTTCACGTAAAATAATAAAACTAACTAAACACAAAGATAACTAAACACTGATCAACTATGTGAAACAAAAGCTAAAGTAAAATATTCACTAAACCCCAAAAAATATAAACAAAAAAAGGCTTCAAATTTATATATCAAAAATGTATGCTGGGTTGCCTAGCACCTAAGTTCAACCCCTAATATCACAAAGAAAAAACAATATGCAGGCCTGGTGATATACATATGTGACCCCAGCAACTCAGTCTGGGTAACTCGGGGAGACCACATCTCAAAATCATAAAGTAAAATGAATGACAGAGCTCAGAAGCAAAGCTTTTGCCAGGCCACAGCATGTGTCAGGCCTGGAGTCAATATCCAGTACTACATACACAAAGTAACGATAATGCCAACCTGGGCATGACGCTATCACACTGTTAATCGCATGACGCACAATGGCCAGCCTGGTCTACAAGAGCTAGTTCCAGGGCAAGCTCCAAAACTACAGAGAAACCCTGTCTTGAAAAAAAGAAAAAAAAAGTAATGATGCATATTAATTTGTGGTTATTCTGTTTTTCATTTTTTTCTAGGGGAAAAAATGATATCTCAAGACAGAGGGGCACTTGACATTTGTTAAATCTATTTTTTTACATCAGCGTTAATATTACTAAGTTATTTTAGTTCTTTTTGTAGTCAAACACGGTCTGTAATCCCAACACTTGGAAGGTTGAAGGAAGAAGACTGACTGGGCTACACATATAGCAAG